GTCTCAAAAGTAACAATAATCGTAATTCTAATAACCTTCTGGAAGTTTGGGACGTAGACAGAGGAATAATGAATCTAAAATAAATTGATGATGATTTGGTGGTGACACTATTAATGCTCACCAAACTACACGGTAAAAAGTCTTTCGATAGTATTAAAGCAACAGAACCACAAGTAAAGATGGGCGCAGGTTATCGTAAGTCAAATCCGCAGGACGGCTTTTATTGAGTGCTTGAAAATGTGGGAATTAACGGAAATAAAGAGGTCATCACTTTTGTACCAATGCATTTTTTTTTTACTGAAACATCTACGTGCGAGAACATAATCAGGATGACGAGTACCGTAAATGTTGAAGAACGGTAAAAAAAAAACGCATGCCTGGATCTATGCCATCTTTATCAGGTACATTATACATGAGCATGAGGTGTAGGTTTACCGCCTATATTAAGGAGCAAAGCAGACAATAGCAGCATTCTCACTCTCCACCGACAAAAATCAAACTGGCTGCCTCAGTTGGTAGAGTTAAGCCTCCTAAGCTGAGCCCCGAGACCCTTCAAGGAGTGATCATGATTCGTTATCTCTCGCCAACTATTATGGTAGCCTGAGAATACTATCATAATGAAGTGCGTTACCTGCGAGATGCCTTCAAGACCAGTGCCCCAGGAGCATGGTGTGTCCAGGACAAGTTACAAGCACACGGAATATATTGTAGGAGCTACAGTTAGTCAACACAGCACAAGCCTCGGGAAATACAGTTTGCAAATACAGCCTCACGGGTTACAGCAGTCAAAGCAGCATGTGCCTTAGAAGACATAATACCCACACTAAACTGTAGCTCTAGACAGCTTCCTCATCCGTACTACTCGTCTTCTCGTGTGTTATCCCCAATGGAAGGTAAGCTTCGAACCTATATATACGTTAGTGTGTCAAAGTGTGTCAGTTGTCAGCCGAGTTGAAGACCTTCACTAAACATTTTACCACAAGGGAGGGGGGGGGGGTCATAGATCAACGCTTGCCCCTCAAGTCGATGTAACAACAAGAATATATCATGTGCAGTACGAATGTATGTTATTCTTTGTAAGGGAATGAAATGATTCTCTCTGAAAATATATGACAAAACTAATGTATTTTAACATAAGAATAAAATTATCAGAATGAATTTTATGCCATATATTCGCTCTTTTTTCAGTGAAAATATCACAAATGATAATTTTTCTTCGATATAATGAAGCAGGGATTCGTTAGGTTAGGTTAAGTGAAATTATTTTCGAGACAATGAAACTTGCAAAATGTTTTTCCTCCATATAATGAGTTCAAGATGAAGTAGAATGATTAGTTCTTGAAAACCTCCGCTACAGTTTTTTTGTTTTTATACCCAAGACAATTTTTCCTAAATTACTGACAGACCTAATTACCATCAAAACTAACAGTCACTAAGGGTTACTATAGTGAGGAGTGTGATACGTCACTATGGGTGGTACCTTAGTTCAGTGTGGCGGGGGACGAACATCTTACGCACATCTTGTATACAAAATGCAATTCACGACAATAAACATAAATCAACAAAACCTAACGAAATCAAATTAACCCTAACTTAGCCTAATGATTGTTGCCTAAGGTTGTATTAAGTGTAAAAGCTGTGCCCAATGTACACATTTTTTATGACTAAATCGGCCTCTTGGGCTGTTACTTACAAAGACTCTATTTTGCACACAAGGTATGGCATACCGGACTCAATTAAAAATAAAGTAAGAGACGAATTTTTAACCAAGTTGTTTATTTCCAGTCCCACATTATAAGTGACATGAAGGCGATGGCGTCATAACCTAGTATCATTATTCCCTACATTTCACACATTTAATCTCACATACAATTAGATAAACGGCAGTACTCAACAAGTGAAAATATGACAAGAAAGTCTCACCTGTTAAGTTGTCTTTGTATTTTTTGCTAAAACGGAGACGGGATAAAAAAAACTGATGGCACAAGTTCACTGTAATCCTAATTACGGCAGTAGTTTCAAATTCCAGCGACGTCCCTTAGAGCTACGCTCCAGTGAAAAGGAAAAATAAACTTAGTTTCATTCTTTATGACCCATCCACCGTGGAGCTTCCACTAATATTCACAGATTAAATGTAACATGAAAGCATGGTGCCAAGTTAACACGTCGGAGGACACCAAGAATTTTCACTGATTTGAAATAGTATTTTCTAGAGTTTGTGGAACTTGTGAAATAACACAGTATAACTCTTTTTTCACACTGGTGAACACAACCTGGATCACACATTTTGTCCACTGGTGTAAGTCGCCGACAACTTGAAGTTTAACAACGTCACTTTAATCCAAGATTCGTGCTGCCTCTGACCAGTGACCACTGCCGCTGTAGCAGTTGAAAGTATCATAAATGCATATCCATCATCTAAGCAGAACTGACTTCAACTGAGGCTGACTGCGGAGCAACGCCAACCGACCGCTGTCCGCCGATGTCTGAATGAGTCATACGTCTGGCACTTCATTTTTACCTAACGCTTCACTTTTAACTGCTCCACCGCCACTGGGTGTTTGTGTCAATGTAAACAAAACACACGTGACCATCGACAACACTCGTTAACTGGCCAACAACTGTTTGGATAGAATAAATTATATATTAGTCCTGATAGAAACAAACTGTGACTTGGTTCCCCTAGATGTAAAAGAAATCTCAAGAATATGAATGATAAATCGATGCTTTAAACATTTTCTTACAGATCCCTCTTCATGAATAAACCAAGGGAAACCAACCTAAGCAATTTCCTGTCTCCTGCAAGAGCTTCTAAGTCTTTCACATCTTCACTTGTGTGATAACCAACATATCAATACACAGTTGTGAGGTAACCAAAGCATACCTTTGAAACAAGTCGTTTCCATTTCTTTGAAGCAAATTTATCAATTGTGTCATCACATAACATTTGCTATCCCAGCTCATAGTAAGTTGATGATAATTATGGCGAGCTTCAATTTCGAAAAGCTTCTTTTAGCTGTTTTTCATTTATGAAAGACAATTTATATTGTCACGTTCTTATGAAAAATCAATACTGTACTGTACCACCAGAGCTAACTTTTTTTATAGATACCCTCAGTTGGTATTTCCCGTGTTTCATGAAGTTTAGCATTACTCCAAACTTGTCTGTCACCTGATCTAGTGTTGGGAATCTGTCCTCTAGTAAGAGATACAATGGCAAAATATAAGAGCTCATTAAGGAGTCCTTTTCGTAGCTTATTCATTGTGTCATTGAAGGGCTTGTAGTGGACGTCTCCCCTACAAACTGCGTAGCACCCACCACCTGCTATCACATTCCAACGTGCCGTTGCCTAGCAACCAAGCGAGAGCTGTCCCCAGATGTTACCGTATCTTAGCAACGAAACTATTCACCGGCGACTTCTCGGGTTTTCCCAACATGACTCATAGCGGCTGCTGCTGGTATATAAGCTCTGTCTCTCCATTGAGATTGATTCTGCCCATTTTCCTGAACAAGCAACACCTCCTCTAGCAAGCTCCTAGCTGTTAACATTTATTCAACCAGGAGGCCAGCAACAGGCAACATCTTCTCTAACGAAGCTCCTGCACATCTACCTCCTTCAACACGCTACTCACCGAACGTCTTCTACTGAGCAGCTCCCCACCACACGGCATCTCCAGCACCAGACTGTCTTCATATAACTTATATATTATACAAGAAAACCACATTAGAGTTTCCTTCCATCCTGAGTGCTAGACAACATTAATATCTCGATACCCCTACAGGCTCATTAGGTTCATAGACAAACTACCTTGGTGTTTCTGAGTTATTTTTCAGTGAAGTTCTACATTAATTTATAAGTTTGTAGTGCTTGTTAACAGGTTAACTGCCACATCCAGCTGCATTGACGATTTTAGACGTTTAATCATGTGTGTGACTGATGTTGATCATCTTTCCATGAAATCGGTTTTTTTCTTTGTATGCCCAGAACTATTTTCGTTTAGATTAGGATTGCCTGCTGCATATATACTATGCAAGTAATTATTCTGAGTTATACCCTTTCAGTAAAAATGAGCACATACGGTAATCTTAATTTAGTTTAATTTGGATGAAATTAAAATAAAATATATTAATGCATATTTTTCTTTCATTGCTCGTTTCAGCATCAGCCAGTCATATGTTGATGTTTTAATGTATTACAGTACAGTATGTACTGTAATACACTTTAACAGAAACTCGCTATACTGTACGTTGATGGTAACAAATTAAGTTACATCATTACAGAGTTCAAACGAATTTGTTGAAAAATTAAGTTGCTTTAAAGTAACTTGTCTTCTTGGTACTTTTACTTGAATAACATTTCAGACACCAATCAATACTCTTCATTGCAGTACTTAATTGGGGCCTCTACTTACCTTGTTACTTTATTCTGGGCATCATGTCTAGAAATAAAAGTTTAAGATCTATGCATACTCTGAAGTGAATTGTTGTGTTTGGAATTAAAATAGTGTAAGAACTGTGGAATGTGCTGAGTGGACTTAAAGATTGAAAATGTGTCATCCACAGCAATTTAGATTCATCAAGACATTCTTTTGACCTCAAACATTCCAAGGAAGGCCAGAAATATTTTGAAGAAAATTTGCGAGCCATGGCTATGCATTCTATCTTACTATATACAGTACTTGAATTTTTATCATTTCATCACTAACATTCTTTTGGATGAATGATAAAAAAAATATCTATTTTTTTTTAATACCAGTGACAACATAAATGGCCTATACTCAACCCCATTTCATGAACTTCTCTCTTGCAACAAGGAATTGTGGTGCTTACTGCAGTAGGTCTTGTAAATTTTTGGAACATTTCTAAAATATTTTTGTCATTCCAAAATATTTCATCACAAATTAACCAGTGGGGGTGTGGGTGTGTTTGTGCATGGAGTATGTTTGACAAAATGGAGACCAATATTCAAATATCACCAGGATAATAATATCAACTGGCATAATCTTAAAAGTTTAATTGGAAAACAGAATGAACAAAATTATTATATTTGTTACAACCACAGACGGAGTTTCTTGAAATTGTGCTTTGCTCTTTCAACTGATCTTTGATGCAAGTGATTACCAAGGATAGAAAAACCAACCATACCTACAACAAAACTAAATTCACTATGCAATTTAGGGATAATTTTCACTTTATCGTCAGGGCAAATCAGCATAAAAGTATTCTTTGTCTCCTTTATAACAATTCCTTGTGTTCCAATATATTCTGAACACCGTGATTTGGTGACTCGCATAAAACAGCCAAAATAATCAATCTTTCTAATTCTGTTTTGCACTGCTTCTGTTTTTGTATCCCTATCACCACCTTTCCAGCCATTTACAATGAAATAATTAATGCCGAGAAGGTCCACTGCATATTTCTTCCACAGGTCATTTATGGGTAAAAACATTTCAAAAGTCTTGTTGCACCTGTCAACTTTGTGCAGTCCCAACTCTCGCCTTTCGCGACCTGTCAAGCGCTTTTTCCCTTGGTGCGGTGCATTTTTCTTGTTTCGTTTCCTGAGGGATTTGTGTGGTCGTATTCTTGCTTTCTTGTCAGTCAGCAAAAACCCTTTTCTTACCTAAAATACACAATATTTCATTATACTGAAACTGAATCTAAGTAAAGTAGCAACACATAATACAAGTATTGCCATATATTGTTAACAAAATAAAGTTTACAAATTGAGAACCATGGTCATCATAGTATACAGCAAAATTGTACTCAATATTTTCTAATCTTAAGGGGAACTGTATCACCGGATGATGTCTAGGAAAAAAAGAAAAGTTGTTGAAAGGTTAGCAAATTTCTGTTGCAGTATGAAAATACTACATCGTAAAAATGTGAATCTGAATGTGTGGAGGAACTACTGGATGGAAAAACTCAACATAAAGTACTGGGTAATACATTATTATGAAAAGAGGATCCCCATTTTGTGCCTAAGAGGAAGAGACAAGCAACCCGCAAGAGATAATCCACTAGAGCATCCCCAAACAGAGCATGCAATCATGAGGCAGGTATATAAACTGTCCATTCAAATCTATAATTTTTTTTATAAAAAACCTGTTGTCCAGTTGATCTGTGGTTTATGAAACAAGCTTTGACCCCAGGGTAAGGATCATCAAAGTGCATGCCATTAGAGTCCAAACCCCTCAAATTGTCCCATCAAGGAGAAAGATGAGAATATGGTGGTTAATGACTTTCATAATGTGTCTGTGCTATCTTACCTTGATAATATTGAGGGATATGTTAATGCAAAAACACCTTAATAATGTGGTGTACTAAATAAAACTTGTAGGGTTGACAATATGGTTGGAAACAAGAGTTCAAAAATAGGACCTCACTGTAGAAGAACAGTGGTGATTTGGCCTGATGTAAACTACGTGTGTTCAATGATTACCTATGGAAGGGTCACTTCCGGTTTACGGATAATTTAGTTTATGGATAGCCTCCAGGAATGGAACCAATTCATAACCGGAGGAGTGTATGGACATTTTACTTGGTAAAAATCTTTGTGGTGACAACCATCAAAGAATGAGCAGTCACCCGTGTAATTCTGCTAACTTACTGCTTATTAATACAGTAAGTTCAGTGATGTTAACTGAAGATTACCAGATTAATAATCAACTAAAGGACATGTTTAAGCGAGTACGTATTGTATACAAACATTCCTAGACCTCAGGAACACATGCCTATTTTTTCCCATTGGAAATCAACATTCATTCATCATCATTAACATTTTATGGACATTTCCACACCTGCGTGGGTTAGCAAGGATTATCAAAAAGCAATTACAGTAGCTTGAGAACAAGACCCTATCCTATGGTATCCAGCCTGTATCTAAAAACTGTTTGATATAAAGATTTTTCATCCAAGCACTACAGTTCAGTACAGGAACATCTATACCCTTAATTAAATTAAGATACAGCAGAGATGTACATACGCAAACTAAAGATTTTAGCACTAACCTCTGAATTGATTTCATCTCTGTCATTTTTTGGAACATGAGCCTCAAGGAAGTCTCGTAGTTGCTGTTTGGCCGACCCAGCACTCTGCTCCTCAATAGGTAGGTCAATTAAGGCAGATGAACGTTCAACAACAACGTCAGGTAGAGTATTGTAGATCTTTGATGTTTCAGCTTCCATAGTGTAGTTTCTCCTGTAAAAAAAAAAAAAAAAAAAATAGATAAAATAGCACGCAAGATATAGGTATGACAGCCATATGTGAAATGGTAATGTCTTTTGGTATAGCAGCCTAAGTGCATGCATGGGCAAACTATACTCTACAATGATAGTTACTAATTTGGCCTGCTTTCTGACTTACATAACCTCTCTACCCAAGCGGAAAAAAGCACTGCATACCACATTTTGAGCATGCGCGATTCTCTGCCGTACCATTAAGCACACAGTCTGTCAATATGGCTACCATATCTGCATCCAGTGTGTAAAAATAAATACTACCCAACTTCCAGAAAAATCTAAATTAATGAAAGAAATAATACATGTAAGTGTAAAATCAAGTAATCTGGCACTTTAAATATTAATTGTATTTGCTGATAACCACAAGGAAAAAGCATATACCTAGATCACGCGCACCTACAGTGATTTACTTGCATTAATTGTATTACAGTACTCTACTTAAAATACTCTTGATAAATGGAGGATTGATCCTGAAATCCAATTTTAGCTAATACTCCGGCAGACGGCTAACACCAGAAGGAGTTGTTTGATTTTGTTCCTTTTTTTTCACATGTACTTTGGATGACAATAAGTAATAAAAATTTTACAACTTTTTATTTTATTTTATTTTTTGTTTTAAGTTTTTCTTTATCTAAAATCATAAATCACCTGTAGTGGGCAGGGTATGAAGGATGAGGGATATTGTGGGATAAAATATGGTGAAAAACTGATCATATGACACTAAGATGATGAGTTAATGACTCTACATGCTTTTTATGTGAAGAAATTAAATATTTACCGTAATATTCCTCTGGTCTGTTTGTTTACAATCGACCCGCTCGATCCAAGCGTACTCTCACGTCCACTAAAAAAAAATATATATATACCATGACGCTTCAAAAAAGTTGCTTTTATTGGTACGATATAAAAAAAGTACCATCTGTTTAATATAGCGGGGGTTTAGGGGGCTTGGCTAGGAAGTTAGGTAAGGTTAGGTAGGTTTCTTTGGTTGGTTAGGCCAGATTCTATTAGGTTCTGTGCATGGTCTATCATTTTTATTACTATCACCCAAAGAACATATGTGCAAAATATTGCCAAAATTAAACAACGCATTCTGCTGTTAGCCATCTGTTCCAGGATTACCCAGTTTTATAGTGGAGTTGGGATTGAAGAACTTTACCTCTACAGTCAGCCAATATGCCTAAAGGGATCAAACCACAGTCCAACTTAAAGCTTAAAATTTAGTAAATCTAATAATTAGATTATCTTTTACATTTGTACTGGGCACCTGAAAGATAACCACTCAGTAAGCAGTACCTGTATCTAATATGATTAGGGAACGACAAATTTTTGACTGAATTCACTAAGAAACGGAAATTAGACCATGATGTGCATGCTTTCAACACTTCAGTAAATGTCTAGAACTACATCACTGAACTATGTTTGATTTTAATAAAAATGAACCACTGAGTATAACCAAACAGCTAACCATATCCTCCACTGTTATCAAATTTTACAACTTACAGCTGCTTGAACTCTGATACAGGTGATAAAATACAACAAGTCTATCACTACTGTTGCTGAACGTAATGTGTACAAATAAAATTTACTTAATGTTCGTTTACATCTAGTACAAATATATTTACCTTCAGACTTACAAATGCATAATAATTATATAAGAATATGTAACCAATCGGTAATAAAAGACATAATATCATTTACTTTTACGTATATATTTTTCTTTTACTTTGGAACTAATATATAAGTTTAGTGAGTTACTGTGCTGTCCAAGAACGGATGTCCTTTGTTTACTAACACTCATCTGCTGCAGAATGATAACAAATATAAAAGATTTTTGGAATAAAGTTTTCTGTAATTTATTGTATCCGTCATGTCTTAGCGTACGAGACGGTCGGATTAGTCCAGAGGGGGTACAGGAGAATACCGGACTTACCGGAAATCCCTGACCAGGTCGATGAGGGATCACAATACGCACTCACCCAGACCAGTGGCGCCTCCAAGCGGCTGGGGAGTAAACAAAAAAATAACAGGAATAAAGGGAGGAAGAAATGGTCAAAATCACGTATTTCTATCGATTTGTTCACTTTTTTTTATTTATAGCAGCTGAAACGGGCCCACAGTACTATGCAGCTATAATAAGTGCTGGAGCCGATCGTACACTTACTTCTATCAATGTTAACTGCTCATTACGGTAGTTTTTATGAGCTCCTTCTTTATTTAATGCATTTAATACTGATAACGTTCCAATATTTATAATTACTAGTTAACATCAGAGTAGCATTAGAATATATAAGACGAGCAGGATACTGTTTTAGGTCATTATTCGTTTTCAAACCACCCATGACTTTTAGGACAAACTTTCTTGGGCAAATTCATGAAAACATTTCCAACTACACATTTGAAAAGGGGGTAAAACTACACTAAAACAACTATATAAAAAGGAGGAGGTATTCAATGTGTGTTTCTAAACAATGAGTTCACCACAAAGTACAGTATGTTACAAATAAGAGACCTGTCGTCACAAATAAGAGACCTGTCACCTGAATGTCTTGTAAACTAGGTGCTGAAATTATAAATTAAACTACAATTTAACCGTCACTGCTCATGAATCAATAACATTACTATGAACTTACCTTCTCCAGTCTTTTGGGAAGAAATGTAACCATAGCCCTCAATTATTTCTTTTGTTTTCCCCACAAACAACACAACAGTGACACGAGCTGGGAGCCATCTACCGCCGCGCCGCCTGTGGTAGCCGCTGCCACACACCAGTGATCCACGGCCATCTATAGGACAAGCATATAACTAATATGGATTGAATTACTCCCAAAGACTAATACAGTACAGTAGTTCCATAATATCCGTGGGTTAAGTTTATACACCTGAGACACATGAAGTTTAGACACCCTATACCACATGAAGTTTAGGCAGCCTGGACCACATGAAGCTTAGACACCCCTGGACACATGAAGTTTATGCTCTTACAAATACGGTCTAATTCTGCTGTGATCGTCTGTCATTTTTCCACTGAAACAACTCTTTACCTACAGTACTTTATTTTAGTCAGTTTGATCGAACCTGTTAGTTATGAATATTAAATGAGCTCCAGAGCTTCATTAAGTCTTTCTGTACAGATCTTCATGTCAAGACTGATTCTTTATAATAGATAGCCACAGTCACTATATCACAATGGCAGAAATTTTGGGGCTCTGTTCATTGCAATCCATAACTTGGAAAATACTGTTATATAATTATGTTTTCTTTTTTTTCTACTGGATGCCAGTGTACACAAAGCCCATGATTTTTTTGTTTGTTTGGTTAGGTTGTGTTGGATTAGGTTAAATTAAGTTGACATGTCCCAATAGACTAAAAAAAAAAGATATTTTAGGATAAATCATCCATATTTATTCAAGTCAAAAACAGGTCAATAAGAGACAGAGGAGTTGTAGATGATATATATTTGGCGAAGACCAACAACATGGAATAGAAATATAGAAAAATTCAAGAGAACATTGCACAAACTTCATAATTGTTCTTAATACTTTGAAGAACCAAATATTTTTCTTACTAAAGATTTTCACAGTACAGACTCAATAAATGATAATGTTAATGATACAAAGGTATGCAATGATATTGGCTCTTAAGTGGACCACCCCATGTTGAGTGAAGGAAGGCTTGACAATACGTACATAAAAAACACAGATGCACGAGAACCAAGATGACAAAGGCTATCAATATATCCCCTTCTGCTACTGTTTACTGTTTCATGAACAACTTCCTCCTCTTAACCGGACCTTGAGGCATATTAAGATACAGTACATTTCATTTAGTGTACAGTATAATTATAACATACAGTACTTCACATGTACATAATCCCTTACTCTTTTTTGTGTGCTTATGTCATCTGTACCTAATGACAGTAATTTCTACACCCGGATTAGGAAACTGGAGGGGTAATTATGGAGGATTAAAATTGGGTCTGGGACAAATAGATGGGAAAAATGCTACATAATATTCATCTTAAATCATAAATGATATACTGTATGCAGTAGATTCATTTAAAACTGAGTACAGTATGTGATAAATCACAATATTTTTTTTCATCTAGAATTTGTAAAAGATATACATACAGTACAGTAACTAGCAGACAAAACTGAAAATTGTGGTGCATGTCATAACTTTTCATATTTTACATCAATGAGAGAAAAAAAAAGTTGAAATGTTATGCTACATAGCCAATGTGACCAAAGAGTGTGGTTATAAATTACTGTACTGTAATTTAAAACTTTTGAAGATCATGTTTCTACAGAGGAGTAACAAAAACTAAGCTTAAAAAAAATAAATATATTTTCATTGTTTATTCCAACATACAAGAAATAAAAAGCCTTAATCAGTAAGCCCTTATCCAGGTAGTTGCTATGATCACCGGGATGGAACAAGTATACAGTACATTTTATTCAAGGAGAAAGAAGTGATGTAGGATAAATTCTCCATCCCTCAAATCATATTAATACTGTATTTACTAACTGGTCTTTTTAAGCATAATCACCTGGAGGCACACAAGATCAAAATGCAGGTGTTTAGTGGTTTGGGGAAAAATATATTGCTGATACCTAGTACTGGGTTGTATAAAGTAACAGGTAAACCCGAAAAATTTTGCCGTACATTTCTTAAAGTACCGTGTACAGATAATTAAGTAAATTTTTGTACAAGGAGTTTGGCAGTTGAGTGGATACAACACGTTTCTCCTGTTCCATGGCCACTCCAAGTTCACCCAGCTGTAAATGGGTACCTAAGTTTATAACTTGGGGAAGTGAATGCAGTCGAGTGCATTACCAGCCATGCTGCCTCCTTGAGTACTAAAGGCTTAGTATACAGTGTGGTGTATTCACACTGTCTTTAGCTGGCAGCCAAGCCTATGAAACCCACTTTCACAAGAGCAGCTTTTGTTTATGAATTAGCAATCTTTAATACATTAAAAATTCCCTTTCAAATTTTCTTAAAAATTCTACCATAAACCCCCCAAAAAGCTAAATATAATTATAAAATGAGAATTGAAAAGCATACCAATAACAGTCTGGAAAGAATAATCTAATGGTTTTCACTGAGTAAGACCTGGGGGCTTTTTCAGAGGAAACCTCCAATTTATAGTAATGCACTTGTTTATAAAATGTTAATTAAATATGGTCTGAACTCACTACCTACCATTAATCTTAATTTGAATGTAATACAGTACAGTATGCCATTTTCATATATGTATTCAGAGTTGCTACTACTCCACACTTACACTCGCTAAGACTGTACTGTATATGACACAAATATATTAAATTCTCTATCAGGTCACCTGCATACCAAATAAATAAATACAATTTGGTCACCATGCTACAGAGGGTGTTTCGGTACCTACATACACTGAACCGATTCCAAACACATCTGCAATTCTTCTCCATATAGTAATTGGCCACCTCAGCTCCTTGGCATGTAAGTTCCACCATGTAACTCTTTATCCTCCACCATCTTTACTAAATAATTAATAGTTTCTTATCACGAGGTGAACATTAAACAATAATTATGATAGTTGAAAAAGTAAATATACACACAAATTATTCAGAATTTATGGGATTGCCTTCTAACTATCGCCAATATAAGAGCAACTAGTGTCAGACCTGTTAACTCTTCACCCCAACAAGTCCACTATACCTTGGTGATATGCTGAGTTTTGTAATAATAATAGTACAGTATTTCGGTTGTCTAATGTAAATTTTAAAATACTCGTACAGGGTAGTTTGCTTAAATAATTAGATAATTATTATTATTGCTTATTCTTTATCAATTACAGTATTATCATTATTTTTAATGCACAAAGTGTTACTGGCGATTCATAGATGGCAGTACCTCATCATATTGTAGAATAGGCTCTTACGCATACAGTACTGATAAATTAAGACTGAAGAAATGTAATACTGTACTGGACCTGACTCATAGTACACACATTATGTATCTGTATAGAAATTCAAGATTTTCTTTACTTGCACTACATGCTTACTAAAGTTTCACTTTTCTTCACATGTTAGATACTCTTCTCAACTCTTGGTGATTTACCACTTACCACAGACTCTTAATACTCTATATGAACACCATATAATTAATGGATTGTAAAGATTAGTAAGTAACAAGTAACATCATCACAATCTTGTAAATTACTGAAGAAGTGCTTCCAGTTACAAAATCTGTAATTTTTGCAAACTACCAGAAAAATCTCCTTTCCCTACTGACTCAGCAAAATCCTGTAGCTTGTCAAAACATAAGTTATTGGTCAGAGAATTCTGTAATCAACACACACATACAGAATAATTAGCATATATAGTAATTTGCAGTCTGCCAGTACACACTTTAAGTCGTTTGTACTTATTATAACTTGTCAGAACACAGTGCAGCTAGTCAATATACAATATTCAGTAAATTTTCATTGAACAGTGCAAAATTTGAACATCCTTTGCAACTTCTCAGTAATTTCTCTATTTATGAAATTTTTTGTAAAAATTAAAACACTGCAACTAAACCCGTCACTCTTGGCACTACAATGAGTGGTTGCTTATCAGTAAAACTTGTTGACAATATTGTTAAGAATCACAGCCACAATATCAAACATGTTGTCAACCTTCTGAGCGAAATTTTCACTAAGAAAGTCAACTTCATGCTGGCTACTACTAAACACACATTAGATGATTTGACAGTACAGTAAACTCTATAAAGAGCCCCATCAACACTCAAGCTAGCCCGCCTGGCTACCCATTTAGACCAGCCTTACAAAACAGAAGTTGCCCACAAATGACTCAGTCTAGCCTCAAGGCAGAGCTCAGTTCACCTAGGACACAATAGTGTGCATACAGCCATGAGAACTATGGTCATCCCATTCAGCAATGAGGAGTTGGACATACTCACAGTTAGAACAGTTGCTGCAGCATATTTATGAAGGCGAAAGAAGAGGAAGAAAGATCAACAAAGTGGACGAAAGATTGGTTAATGAAAAGGCACGGATTATCTCATACATCATTACAGTATTAGAAGAATTGAGATTAGAGCCAGGAAACTGAATGGGTAGGGATGAGCAGGCAGACAGACAGGTCGGCCTGGATGTGAATGGGGCTCTTAAGACAACACTGAAGAGAAACAACAAGGCTGACACACACACCGAGTTGTGATAGGAACAAGCACTTAAAGCTGCAACACACTGTGATAACATCAGAACATGTTGCAACAGATGGAAACATGTTGAAGAGATTCACCACAGGAAGGGGTTAAGACCAATTGGGACACTGCACATGCACTTGGTCACATCCTCAACTTTGCAAGGAGTGTGCAAAGTGAAGAGTGAATCTTTAGTCTTCATAACACTTCATATTGTTGTGAATTACTTTAGATGCTGAAGATTTATAAGACTTAAAGAGATTCTTACCTTAGTTAATTTGGATCACCTTTAGATTAGACACCCTAGCATATTTCACTTGAAGACTAACCACCCTAATGCTAACCTAGACACAGATTAGAAGCAATTATCATAGTAATAATAAAGATTTATATTATTACTATTAAGCCGACGATTAGATTTATATCACATTGTAAACTGGTGGACTTAAGGCCGAGTGGCTTCATACAGAGCCTTACACCCCCCAACAACGACAGCCATGAGGTGTGGGGAGCCTTACACCCCCCACCTCCCCAACAATGACAGCCATGAGGTGTGGGGAGCCTTACACCCCCCACCTCCCCAACAACGACAGCCATGAGGTGTGGGGAATCAGAGGCTAAAGCATCACCAGGCAACTCGTTCCCCTATGGTTTGCAGTCACCTCTTTTACTTTGAATGCGCAGTCCGGGCAATACCAACAACAGCCTTCATGCTTTACCGCAATATGTATCGTCCTAAATGCTGAATTGCCCAGACTGCGCATTCAAAGTAAAAGAGGTGACTGCAAACCATAGGGGAACGAGTTTCCTAAGAAATAAATAGATGAAGCTGGATCCCTGCTGGTTCCCAAACTAGAGCAAGTTGGGAAAGAGATCCTTGCTAAGACTGAGGAAGTAGCCGATAGAATGGAGGGAGTAGTGAAGAAGAGTTATGCTCAGGCCTTAGCAGGGCCATGGAAGGTGGCGGAGAGTAATGCAGGATCAGAACAGGTTCTACAGCAGCTAGGGACTCCCCTAACTACTGTTAGGGGAGAGGAGGAACAACGGAAACGTTTTGAGCGCAGGAACAACTTAATAGTTTTTGGAGTCCCTGAGAGCCAGTCGGAGGAAGCGGAAACTAGGAAAACACACGTAAAGTTGCATTTTAAGAATATCTGTACAGAGGCTCTGAATATGTCAGTCCTCCCTCAGGATGTGAAGATGCTAGGTCAAAAGCAGGGGGACAAATCTCGCCCCCTCAGGATCACACTAGCGAGTGAGAATAAGTAATGTGAAGTTATTCGGCAGGCAAAAAATTAGCAGGGAGTGAGGCATTTCAAAATATATTCATTCACCCAAATCGCACGGTAATGCAGAAGAACGGCATAAGAAACTCCTACAGGGCTGGAAGCACAGGAGGGACGAGTCGAGGAGGAACGAGGACGGGTGTACATGGGTTATATCCAGGGGGAGGGTAGTGGAAGCAAGAGCGCTAGCACAGAGCCAGGGGGCAGCCATACACCCCCCACCCAGGAGGAGGCAAGCGCCATTTAAACAATGACATCTCTGACCACACCCTGCAAAATACAATGTATTTAGCAAATGCTGCAGCTACTGAGAATAGGGGGGGCCAGTCACTACCAAGAGCAGAGACGTTACTGAGAAAAAATTCCAGCTTGAAAGTCATGTACAGTACACTAATACTGACACGTTCCTTGATAAGAGAGAGGAGTTTGAAACACTACTGAAGGTACATCAACCCGATATAGTAGGTGTCTGTCCGTTTCTCGTAACGATCTTCAAGTGTGAGGTGCTTCCCCGCCTTGAGTACTGTCTCCCTGTCTGGTCCCTGAGATATGCTAGGGACTGTCAGTAGATTGAAAATGTCCAAAAGAGGGCCACCAGGCTGGTGCCGTCACTTTGGCACCTCAGCTACCCGAGAGATTAGAGCGCCTGCAATTGCCTAGCTTATACTACAGACCAAAGACTATATAAGAAAGATGGGAAAGCGTCTACATTTATCGATAAAAAAAAATGAGCCACTGAGCTCCGATCAACGCCATCTGTTGGCAACGTGGCTAAATAAAAGCCTGGCGTGCGTAAGGGCAGCTTGTCCATGTTTCCATGGTAACCAGCGAAGTGAGCTGATATTACCTTGACGTCTTTGCCTTGACTTTCTTAATGTGTATACGTGCACACACACATACAATATCACACAGTAAATTCTAAATGATCAATGATATACAGCAACGTGAAACACAAGCTCAGGGTGATCTGTTTTTGTACGTGTGAATACGGCACACGGGTGATGGTGACGCCCACTCATTGTTAAAATTCCTGGTCTTCGTGTAAACAATCAGACGATGTACAGATGACCCACGCCATCTGTTGATCCCGCGGCCAACTATATGATATGTGGCTTACACGGTTTTTTGCCTTGCTTTCCGTCTTTCTTATATAGTCTTTGACTACAGACAGGCAAGGGGGGACCTAATTGAGTTGTATAAACATCTCAAAGGGCACTACTCAGTTGAGTGTCCTTACCTGGAGCTGGCGGACGCTCGCCCCACCAAGGGTCACATCTCAAGATTGAAGAAGCCACAAGTCCAGAAAACTGTGAGAGCTAACTTTTTTGGAGTGAGAGTTGTGAACTCTTGGAACAATCTGCAAGAGAGTGTTGTGACGGCACCGAATGTGAGCTCTTTCAAGACCAGATTTAACAAGTACTAGAGCAGGTTCAGGTACATTCAGGAGCCAGCGCCTGCCCAGTACTTGCCAACAGAGCGTAACAGAGACGTGACCGATCAGTGGTGAAGAGGACAAAAGTAAAAACAAAAGTAAAAGTACAGTATGACCTAACCTAACACAAACCCTGTAGGTAGTGTTAGTGTGAGTAATCTTCCAGTGAAAAAAGCTGTGGTGTTTAATCCTCAGGTGTTGCGGTCATTTTGCATTATAAAAACAAAAAGTCTATTGTTAATTTTACAACCTTAAATGTTAACAAATTCTTCTTTATCTTATTACAAATTTAATAACAAAATCATTTCTTAGTTACCATACACTTATTTTGTTTCAGGTTAACTATTGTAACTCTTTATGGGTCTGCCTACCTAATTATCTACCACAGAAAGTTCAGACAGTGTTACACAGGCTTGCCAAGGTTAATTTTGCTCTCTCATTCTTGATCTAATTGCCAAATGACTTTTAAGGCACTTATGTTTGCTGATCCTAAGTATTTGGCCAACTTGCTAAATCCTCTGACCACAAAGTTCCAAAATAATTTTGTGTATTAGTGAGAGATCCTTCACGCCTTGAGGAGCCTAGAGCAGTACGAAATGTTCTTTTGCTGCCCGATCCTTTTTCTATACAGTTCACCCAGATTGTACAATCAGTTGCCTGCATCCATGAACCAGCTGACTTTTGTGAAGGCCTTTAAGAAAGAACTTATACCTTTCTTTTTGTAAAGCTTATGATTCTATGGAGGATGTGTGCAGTGATGGAGAATTACAGGGTTTAGAAAGTGTTACAACTTAAGGATACACGAACTGTCACTTTGTGATTTTTTTTTTTTACTTTTTTATTTCGAGAGCTAATGGCAATTTTGAGAAACAAAAGATCACCTATTACTATTCCTGTATTATTATATTCAAGCAATTAGTGCAAGTCGAACCCTGTGAGCAGTGCCACAAAGGGACCTCTTTAAGAGGTGGTGGAACTAGTTTGAGAAGTCGTGATCCCTAACTTGCACACCTGAGGCCCTTGTCTGCGAGTCGTAAACAAGGAATGGTGTCATCCCATCTCTAGCCCCATGGGGGCTACAAAATACCTACTCACCTTTCATGGAGGGAAGGAATGAAATACGAACTCACTAACTAGGAATGGAAGTACTATACCCCCTCTTGAAGAGAGGTGTGTTAGCTTGCCAACCCAACTGACCGAGAGATCATGCACCACTAGTGGGGTTTGCCACTGCCCTCACATCTGATTTCTATGACCTTAGGAAGATTAAACCTATACGACACTCAGGCTGCACCTTGACCATGCCAAGCAACTCTCAGAACCAGTTAAATTGAGATGCCAACCTTGACTGTTTCTGAATGCCCTCAAGCACCTCAAGAGTGATCCACACTCCTACTGGAGTCTATTTCATCTTGACCTTCTGTAAAGGTAGGTAAGCAAAGATCTTTAAAACAGCTTGGGTTTCCAGTATCTTCATTACATTTATTAGAATCTGAGCAAACCTGAGCAATAACTAATTCATGACTCTCTTGTGCCTCTTCCATCTCAAATTCTAGTAATAACACAATACTGAACATTGTATTGAAAATAAAGGTAATATTACTTTTGCTGGATTTGTGCATCTATTATAAATAAGTCTCATTAATTGTTTATTTTTGTTCAATAAGTGTATTGTATTGTAGTTACCTCAAATTCAATATAATCAGCAAAATAAAATATTAAGACTAAGATAGAAAGAACCAAAATACCAGAGTGCAAGACAGTGTACCTAGAGTCTTATGTGTGACAGCGGGGTGAGGGCATTTCTGCCTTCTCACCTCACTCCCGAAAAATTTTTTTGTGGTGTTAGGATGCTTACAGAAGGCAGCGCCTCAAATGCTCTTTGGCAATATACACAATAAAGCAAACGACACCATTAATATTTTCTTTCTAAAATCTTGACTTACATTTTACCTTTGTTAGAAAGTGACAGTACGTATTGACATGGAAGATATCAGAACAAGGACATAAGCACAAGGGGCAAAGATTCATACAAGAAATTTACCTTCAATCTGCTGACCTAAACACGACCAACTGACAGAAAACATACAAAACTGTAGGTGGATTTTGCAAGGTTTCCAAAGTGCTCAGAATTCCATCTTCCACCTTCTAAATTTACAACAAAATCTAAAGAGAATACACATCAGCAATCCCACTTCAATAATTATTATGCATTATTATTTTCTGTAATTTCTTTTGATTGATATATTGTATTGAATTCACACAATTATATCATTAAATATATCTTGCAGTCTTGTGACAGAGCTTGGCTATCTCCTTACCCAGAATTCGACTATAAAACCCCAACTTTTTCAACCCTAGACACTCCTTGCCCCTGTGTACAATAGTCAAAAGTGTTATAATAATCATTACACTATAATGTTGGGTCTTATTTAGCACCAACATACAAATGCTTTAACCTTTCTTTGTAATTAGATAACATTGTTCACTCATCTTAAGACCTACTCATACTGGAGTCATATTATCGTGTTTTCATAGTGTTATGGGACAATATTTTCTGTTAGTCCAGTTAATGATTCTTGATTAACCAGAATTCCTATAAAAGAGGACCTCCTTAGATATAATGTGAACAATACACTTCATTAACCTCTGGGTATAGTCCCGATATACTGAGAGTAGCGACGTGGAGGGTCCCGGAAAAGAGAGGGCACAGAGCTCAGATGAAATAAGATGGCGTCAAATTCAGATTATCGCTACTCTCTGTATACAGGGACTCTACCTTTGGGTATAGCCTCAATTCTCCTTGATGACTGTAGCATACAAGACACCATACCATGATGGTCCAAGATGAGGAGAAAAAGTAAAAGCTGTCAGGACCTGCACCAGATGGTGGCCCTCATCACTTTAATAAATAACATTTTCTTTCCCTTTCATGGACTGTGAGGTTACTTATATCACATCGAAATGTCCAAGTTACTTTACTCTGCATATAAAAGCAACTAGCCGTGACTATACAGTGGGTGAAAGCTTGCTAACCTACTGGTGAATGAACCTTAAACTAGTAAAAGCCACGATGCTTAGGCATTTGGTGAAGCAACGTCACTAACGGCAGCAACATGCCAGTCGATTTTAGTTTACCAAGCGCCATGGTCGCTTTCCTCTATCCTGTGACACCCACATGATCAACTCCTGGTCTCTCTCTAACAAAGAATGTTCAAATGATGATCCCTCTTAAAGTTTTAAAGCTCTCAAATTTCAACACCTCAAGTTTCAATAATTTAAAGCATCAGCACCTCAAAGATTCAACCTAACAAAGGCCTGTCACATTAATATTTCAAACCTCATAGTGTCATAAAAAGATGTGATACCTAAAAACTCATGATTTAAAAAACCTCTAATTTAAAATGACTCAATACAGGATAAAGAAGAGTTTCAGCTCCTCTGAACTTGGATTCCTAAAAGTTTTGACACCTTAGACCATAACTGTGACACTTCAAAATTCAATCTCTGACCGAGTACCATTCTCTTCAGAGAAGCAATAATCCATCTGAACTCCATGGGAGCATTCTGACAAAACATATATGTTGGTAAAGAGTGAGACCATACCAACGATCATTGCGACAACCCCGAAGGTGGCAACGCCCCATGCCGGCCACTTGGCGCGGGCCCACAGTGGTCCTTCCTCCAGCTTGATGTAGCACAACACAGGAAGGATGAAGGCAAGTGGTATTGCACACATGATGCCCTGAGTGAGAGAGATCTGGGTGAGTACAATACAGTAGTTTGAAATCTTAAGCAAATTGATTACTTTTTTCTCATCAAGAAATATCTGGATGCCTTAAAAACTCGCACACATTGGCTTATTTGTTTTACATAAATACCGTACTGTAATGATTACAATATTACAATATAAATATAATACATGTACAGAATACATGTTTTACTATTTTTTGTTCTCAGTCTCTTTCTAACTGAATGAACATTAATTAAAATAATGAAGAAAATTATTATGATTACTGTACTAAAGTCCTGAAGATATTCACAGTTTGCTGACTAAAAGTGAATATGTCGCTGGAGTTAAACAAAGTGTGATAACCCTGTGAAAGAGTTAGTATACTCAATTAAGTAATAGAATAGTTCTAATTAAAAACAAATTAAGAGTTTCTGAAGACAATGAAGTTGGCCTGCAGGTGTTTCACTAAGTTCTTTCTTTCAGGAAGGTGACATTGTCTTTATTTTCTAAAAAGTAAATGGAGTTGGATATAAAGTTTAATGTGAATTATCGTAGATTATACAAAACTAGTTTTTAAAAAGGTTATTAGATATCACTATTTCATCACGTCCATAAGGTGTGGTGACTCCTGTAGCACTGGTGTTGGTGTAAAGCAAAATATAGGTCATGGTGATCTGTTTTTCGGCAAGAAGTCTAGATATCACTAGATGACCATGCATGTGGAGTCTAAAAATTGTAACACACTGTGACCTGAAGAAGCAGATTAAACCACTATATCCAAGTCAGTGACACCGATCAGAGGAGTGACTTCACTGTGTTATCATACACAGGACTGGCACATTGTGACCAAAGACACACGTCACACTGACCTGTTTTAGAAGGAGTGACTGTCCCATTATATGATCAGGTTCATGAAATGTGGGGATTGTAAGAAATGATATCCATTTTTTTTACAAGCAGATCAAAGTGGCCTATAGGTACCCTTTTCAAAAGTTACTTGAAAGTATGAAGTATGGTGGCTGAAGTAATTGAATTAGTGTTGAAGAAATAATACCTCACCAACTCATTGCTCTTGACACTCTAGGATTTTATTCTGGCAGTATTCAGCTCAGAGAAAACCTGTAGCACAGACAGGGTTAATATAACGAAAATTTACCAGGAATAATTGGAGTACTGTACTATGTGTGGGCCAATACTGGATGTGGTGACAACAGCCCAAGACAAAGGTATACAAGATAAAATATGTTACCTCACAATATCAGGGAACAATTAATTATTTGATAAAAAAGTGTAGATGATAAATAAGAACAGAACAATTAGGAGAATTATTTAATAAGTCGAAAAGAAGTGATAATGTGCAGCTTCTGTTTACTGACATGACATTAATATGAATAAAACAGAGAGGTGCAAGAAGAGAGACAAGGGACCCAGCAACAATGGGAAATTAGTCACAGATGATCTATATGAAGTGTCCTGTATACGGTGGTCAGATGAGAAACAACAAAATAACTTGCATCAATACAACGCATGATACCAAGACAAGCAGATGTGAGAGGTAAGACGGGTGATATATTTAGGCCAGCCCAGTAACAGATAGGGTACTTACGTTCAGCTCGAGGACGATGCCGAGGCAGTCGGTGGAGAGGGAGAGCAGCATGCAGAAGAGAGCTATCAGGACGGAGAGCACAGCGTGGCGGAAGAATGGCTGAGGCTGATAATTGCGGAAGAATGCGGTCTCCAAGACATCCCGGGCCACGAAGCACTCAATGGGGAAAGTGAGGAGGATGGTGACGGCATAAGCTCCACGGCACACGTTCATCAGGTCGTCCATCCAACAGTAGTTCTCAAAAACATCCCCTGTGAGTGGGAACAGAGAGCTGGAAGGCCTAATGACATGGTGGTGGGGATGAGACAAGATGATTGTGCTTGGTATAAAGGACATAGGGACAGGATGCTGTCTTAGGCAGAGGCAGTAAACAAAAATAAAAATGGATAGAAGTCGATACGAGATAAAAGAAAGTACAGAGACAGTAAAGATGTAAATTGAAATAGGAAAACAAGAAAAAGGCGAGGGAGATGTTAGCCAGGGGTATGTAGGTAAGAGTCCAGTGATCACCTGCTAGCCATCATGTCTCCACCAGATGTTGCGGTATTATCTTCCTTTGACCTACCTTGAACGTGGCCGGTGAAAGTCAGGTATCCAGCCACTGAGAAGACCAGACTGAGGACAGCAGATGCCACGATGGAGATGTGAGTCACCTGCGGAGGAGATAAACACACTCATGATTCTTTAACTTGGGTTCTCAAAGATCCTTAAGTTATGTTAGGTTAAGTTATTATGTTCGGTATGATGGCGTAGAATAGGTTAGGTGAGATAAGTTTATTTACAAAAGGTTAGATCAGGTTATACCAGATTAATCAGAATGTCTTAGGTGAGGTGAGATTAATTATGTTAGAATATTTATGTTAAGGGAGGTTTGATTACATTAAATTAATCAAAAGAGATTAGATTAACATTAGGGTGGTTAATCTTAAGGTGAAATAATCTGGAGGTCTAATCTTCAGGTGGCTCAAATTTCTCACCTGACTGGAAATCTGAGGAATCATCTAGCTCACTCTGGCCACCACAAGATGATAGAAATCAGTCATGCTTAAGAACACTAACATAATTGCTGGCAATATCTTATTACCAGTTCGAATACTGTACTAACATTTGAGAATCCAGACCCATAGCTCTTTAAAACATTTCTTCCACAAATTAGACACCTAAGAAAACATATATGGTAATCTAGATGTTGTAGAGTCGTAGTTATGCAATGTTTTATGTAACTTTGGGAGCAGTGTTTGTGGGTAACAGTGAGTAGATGGGTGTGTTCCTTAAAGCTCCAGGAAAGTCGAAAAATTAACGTAAGAACTTTTTTTATATATTCCAAACAATTGGGGTTCCCAGATGGCCGAGATATCACTGAAGGGGGTTTCTATGTTAAAAATTTACTTCCTTGGTACTCTGGATAACAAGTATGGTAGTATACATCATTTCATACTTTTTTAACTTTACTACAGCTACAGCGTCTTTTGTGTGCTTGCAACAGTTCCTGCAGTCTTCATGCACTCCTTTAATACATTTCAGTGTCTCATAATGTTCCCGCACCTCTATCCTTGTACCAGCTCCCTTCACCTTGTGTCTGTTACTCACTTTCTTTCAGTGTTTTCCCTTGTTCCAGCACCCCTAACCTTGTTCCAGCACCAGTAACCTTGTTCCAGCACCCCTAACCTTGTTCCAGCACCCCTAACCTTATTCCAGCACCCCTAACCTTATTCCAGCACCCCTAACCTTGTTCCAGCATCCCTAACCTTGTTCCAGCACCCCTAACCTTGTTCCAGCACCCCTAACCTTATTCCAGCACCCCTAACCTTATTCCAGCACCCCTAACCTTGTTCCAGCATCTCTAACCTTATTCCAGCATCCCTAACCTTATTCCAGCACCCTTAACCTTGTGCCAGCACCCCTAACCTTGTTCCAGCGCTCCTGGGTGTTGTCAGCGAGGGATTCGTACACAAGGAAGCTTGAGTGGTGACACATGAAGGCGAAGCTCATGATGCCGATGGCTGAAGCCAGGTTCTCACCCCCAAAGTTCCATGCATCATCCGTTGTGGGCCTAAAGGGAGGTCAAATCAGGTCAAAGTAGGTGTTTTGAAGACCAGTGTAAGGCGAAGCAGGTCACAGGAATTCAGAATATACCTGTACTACAGATCTAAGAAAGTTCATTTTGATCATATATTAATGTTGAGAATACAAAGTTATATAAGTCCATATGAGGTGGACTGATAAAAGAGTGTACACTGTACAGTATACTGATCACAATAATTACAGTTAATACTGCTATAGGCTTCCAAGTTTCACAACCTCTAAGATGTACTGAGTGTAAGTTGGTAATCCTGTGAGTCACAACATCATACTGTACCTGTATTACAAGAGGTGTATTCATAGTAAATACATAATTACTTATATGGGGGTTCTGTTTGACGATGTTCATTAACTAGGTAAACACAGAAGTCAGTCTTGGCAATTGGACAATGGTTGGGCATCACATGATTTTATGTTTTGTTGTGTTATTGTCGTATTGATCTACCGTGTTTTGTATGATTATGACTCGATCCTAAATTGATGTATCCATGATAACAAAAGTCCTGTATTAAATATTCCTATTGACTTTTTTGTCTTTGTCACAGGATTAATACATTGCATTCAATAAGTTACTCTTGTCATTGGTGGTTAAAGCAGCTCACACTAGGTCAGTGAAGTAAGGGGGTGAGGGAGTAAACATATAGAACTCACACCAGGTCCTTCATAGTGGCCAGACGCACCAACATGGACACAGCGATGATGACGATCATTACCACCGACACCAGAGACACCTTGGCCAGTCGTGTGATGTTCCTGCAATATGGTGTACAGTCAATAAGAAAATGCTCTGCACCCCTGGGTCTGACGGCTTTTGCAACGATCACTGACTCAGGCCATGTTAATTTGGTAAGGCTGGTAGAGTACTTCTGATTGCGTGATGCATTGTATAACCAATACCTACTATGTATTCTGTATATCATGTATAGTGTCATATTGTATACCACCATAATAATAACCTTGCCAACACACACTCACCTGTACAAGGAGAGGGGGAGGGTGATGAGGAGTGTGGAGGTGGCCATGATAAACTCCCTCTTCACCAGCACTGACTCTTGGCCGATCCCTGTCACCCTGATCAGCACCTTGGTCATGGTGTCTCCCACGATGATGTTGTAGCTGATCAGCGCTGCAAAAGGTCAGGAGGGGTCAGCAGGGATGTGGAACTTACTGTAGATGGTCAAGAATAAAGGTAATAACACTTTAAAGAGGTTACAGTACTTTTTTTTACATAACAGATGAGAGAGGACTCCTAAATGAATGGGGTGAACGTGAAGTATTATCATCAAACTCACAGATAAAGGGATACATGAACTGGAGGGCGGAAGTAATGAGGAAGCCAGGCTTGCCAAATGCGGCATTCACAAGGTCTTGGTAAGTGTTAACTTTGGCTGTGCGGGCCACGGCGATCATGAGGCAGAGCGCTGTGTCCGTGATGATTGATACAAGGATCAACAGCAGCATCCCCACCCCAAACCCTGCCTCGTGCAGCGCAAATGGCATCCCTGTAGAAAAAGATGCCCACATCACATTATTGTAGATACGTACACACCACAATACTGCTGACTACGAGGGTTCTACAGGCACTTTTATCTGTATGTAATAAAATAACATAAGATTAGTGAGTCAATTCCCTGGTGAAAAGGACTGCCACAAGATGAAATATTTACCCGGGAGCCAGTGAGACAGGCGGCAGTAAGTGGTGCTATTATTAAATATACTTTCTGCAATACTGTATACACCTTTTTTTACCGAGCCTATAATAATATCCAATCATTTCTGTCTATAAGATCTTTTGTTGTTTATGAGGTAAGAAAACCTTTGTTGCTCTCACAAAGGTTACTTTAATCAGCCAATCAGACGTTTTATTGTTCTCATAAAAGTGACTTTAATCAGCCAATCATAGGCCTTCTGCTAGTGCATACATAACAAAGCGGAACACTAAAAGCTACTCCTTAGGCTTATTATTATATACAAGTTGGCTATATAACACAAACGATAATAATGCTCTTTTTGTGGCGGGCGGAGGGATAACGAGCCTAATAACTATAACAAAGGATAAACGATCACGGTAACATAACGCCTCATTACCTCACAGATGCCAACAAGTAAATATATCAAATTTTAATCATATTTTTTGTGTAAACATTTGGTGTTTTATTTATGTGGGATTTTACATGATAACAAAGAATTATAGTTTACGAATCATTAACGTAACTGCAAATACATATGAGGCTTTGAGCTAACTAAGAATGATTACCAAAAATAATATTAATTATTTAATTGTTAAGAGTACATAGCTTGTCGCCCACCTATAACACCTACAACCACCTACAATATCTACAACCCACCTATAACATCACTACCAACCCCTAGAACCCACCTACAACCCACCTACAACCCACCTACAACCCACCTATAACACCGCTGCCGACGATGGAGTTGATGTAGTTGAAACTGGTGAAAGACAGAGAGCTCTTGTCTTTCTTGGGGTCAGCATCACCCTCGTACCCAGCCAGTCCCGGGGGTATCTTAGGAGGCTCGTCCGGGGTGGCCAGCTGGAGGGGGAGGGCACGTGGTTAGTGTGGCAGATGGTGAGTGTAGGTGGGGAGTAGGTGGAAGGGGTGGGGAGGGTAGGGGTGGGGGAGGGCAGGTGGGGGAAGGGTGGGTGGGGGGAGGGCAGGTGGGGGAGGGGCAGGTGGGGGGAAGGGGTAGGTGGGGGAGGTAGGTGGGGGAGGGGGGAGGGGGGTGGTGGGGGGAGGTGGGGGAGGTAGGTGGGGGAGGTAGTGGTGGGGGGAGGATAGGTGGGGGAAGGGTAGGTGGGGGTAGGTTAGGTAAAATAATCCTTGGCTATAGTTCCATACACACTGAAGCCGTCACTAGGAACACTGCGACGATACCTTAGAATAGTCAATTGTAAATAATCTGAAATGCAATACAGAAATGGATAAGAGAGTTTTGATATAGCCAAGATTATTTAAATAAGATAATAGAGAGTAACCTGATAGCATTACATCTTAACCATTAAGTCTATTACAGAGAGAGAGAGAGAGAGAGAGACGGTTCACTTACTTTACCCCATGACTAAGGAAAGACAATTTCGCATTATCTTGCCTTTAATTACCTTTAATATCTTATTGTGTTCTTTTTTTTTATGTAATGGTGTGTGTGTGTGTGTGTGTGTGTGTGTGTGTGTGTAAAAAAACAAAATCATCTCGTTCAATAAACTCTACAACTCTTGGGAGATTCCTTTTGTTGACACCCTATCTCTTGTTCTTCCTTTTCTCTTATTCCACCCTCTACTGTTTCTTCCTTTTATTTTCTATCCTTCTTCTCTGAATTTCACACTCATCCATCTTGACTTCTCCTCTTTCCCTCCCGTCTATCAACGCCTATCCTCTCTTCTCAATCATCCATCAACATCCTCCTCCTCCCTCCTCCCTCCTCCCTCCTCCCTCCCTCTCTCTCTCCCTCCCTCCCTCTCTCCCCCTCTCTCTCCTCTCTCCCTCCCTACTCCCAGGTCTATACACGCCGATATGACTAAATTGAGTCATTACTGAGGGCTTCCTCGGCCTGGCAGACCATATCATGCCTGGGGCTCTCCTACACCCACGGACTTACACTCACACTTCTACAACCACGACCTTACACTCATACACCCACACCCTCCTTCATCCACTTCTTGTCTGGTTTTTACATTCGCCGGTAAGGATAAGATCAAAATTAATGTTTTGGGGATATTTGATAAGCCGGAAGATTAATTGGTCCCTTTTTTGTTGCGTTGTTAGCTCAATGAATACCGTTTCTGACTAGTTAACGTATTGCCTGATGACCTAACTGACCTAACTGACTAGCTGACTACGACATTTTCTCCCGACCCGCACGGCTAACACAGTCAATCAACACTACTCGATTAGTCTTGATTTTTCGCAGCTATTTACATTTTTTTTATGATCAAATACGTCTGACTGGAGTGTAAGACTTGTACAGAATGAACAATGCGACTCCTGTTGTCTCGGTAGGGTTGTCAAAATCCTTCGTCCATTGTGTCATAATTATTGTCTCACGCTAAATCGTTAAAGATATTTTCTTGGGGGGAGCGAATGTCTGTATATACCTCGTATCGTTAAAACAATAACACCGTTCTGCTCTCAGGGCCAGACCATTAGAGAAAACTAGACACAAGCACTCAGGGGGGACTAAAAAAATAATCCTAATGAAATTCACAAGGAACCGTACGATAACTCGGTTCGTTGGCGGGAGTAAAAAACAAAAACTAATTGATGAGCACATGTAAAAAACATCCTAAATTGGACTGAGGTAGCCAGGATGTTGTAAATGAAACGCTCACATTTTTAAATTTAACTATAATAGACCAAAAGCGTATTACTGGTTGTTTACGAATGACATCAGACAAATCATCTGGTTCAAAATTGGTTACGCTGGCACAAAAAATTAAGTTATTATTGCCCGAGTTAATTCTGCCCCAGTAAGTTAAATATCACACTACAAGAGAAACAAATGAACTGAATTGGCTACAGCAAGTCTTATTACAAAGTTGGTTGGATCGCGTATGTCTGATTGGCTGGTGGAGGCTGAACACAACTTATCCTCGCATGAGCTAAAACAGCGAAGAAATGCTGTCTGCTGGTGGGTAGTCTGTCTAATCTAACCTAACTTAACCATAACAAGAGTAACTAACGAAAATTACGTCTGTTTGAATGAGCTATGATCCAATACAGTATCAGTAAGGATTAGCTAAAGATGCTGAGAGGCCGCCGCACTGCCTAGTACTTGGGGGACAACAAATCACCAATATCTATTAAGATCAACAGAAACACGAGTTACACAATTAGTTAAGTTTGCTAGAAGGAACGAAAACATCATCCTTACGCGTGTGAAAGTTTGCTAATTTGCTAAACCAACTCATGGGCGAGGACAAAGATTCTTAAAAAAGTTCCTTATGTTAAATCTTCCTACAAACTGAGAATCTGACAACGTTATCAAATTAAGTTCCTTTAAGGTGTATCATAAACACAGCGTGGAAAAAACAAACTAAAAAATGCTTACAAATGTATTAAAATCTGGTTATAAAGTGAAAGGTCAGAGACAAGCCTAGTTAAATGTGGAGGGATTGTACCGTAGAGTTGTGACAAGGTTAGTTTCTCATTCACTCCCATATTATATTACGTAACTCTCCGTTATATTACTTCGCTATACTATATTATTGGATGTAGTTAATCTACTGTCTAGCACAACAACAACATGCCTACGTGGTGTTTGTCTTACCTCTAATGCGTCAAGAATTTCATTAACAGTAGTGTGTCCTTGAAGCTTACCGTGTTGACGCGTCAGCCCCCCACCCATCCTTCCCACACACCTCACTCTACCACCATTAGCATCACTACCACCCTTCCACCACCACACCTCACTCTATCAGCATCACTACCACCATCAAACCTCCATACTACCACCAACCTCCGCACTACCACCAGCACAATCCAACTACACCAGCATCATCACCACTCCTACTCCACACCATCACCACCACTACTCCACACCATCACTACTCCACACCATCACCACCACTACTCCACACCATCACTACTCCACACCATCACCACCACTACTCCACACCATCACTACTCCACACCACCACCACCCCACCAAACATACCACCACCACCACATAGCCACAGAATGCACCCAGGACCCCGGGCATAAACGCATAGTCATTGCTACACATTATTTGCTGCAGTATTTTCACATTAGATTAAAGCCGCAGTGAGTAGACTGTGCAGCTTTCTCTGGCGGAGTCCTGACTGTCTTTTAACCGAGTCAGATGCACCAGTGATTCCATAAAGTATTAGGTTTTAGATTTTTTTAGGGGATTTATAGAATCGTATCCCCTTAATTTCTTACGTTTAGAGTTATAAAAAAATCGAATCCCCTTAATTTCTTACGGTTGAGGTTATAAAGAATCGAATCTCCTTATCCACAATTCTTACGACATGCAGTGTGAGTGTTGTGATGTATTGATAACCAAAGAATATAATAGCATATAGTCGGTTACATTTATTAAGCAAAGAAAACCGTGAGTTATTAGGCGTTTGTGAGCTGTGTTTAAATTGGTATTCGTTTGGAAAGGATTCGTAGGCGTGAAAGAAGAAGAAGAAGAAGAAGAAGAAGAAGAAGAAGAAGAAGAAGAAGATGTTAAAGAGGTCTTATATGATGACATGATTTGTTTACGTCACCACACACAATGATGACATCAGTACCAGCTACTACCTGCCTAAATACTGATGCTCGTTCCTCAAGTAAGATACGAACCTAAAACCGTGTCTTCTAATTTTCAATCACGCATAAACTAACCATTAAGGAATTATCATTAACATATTTACAAATAAAACGAATTCAGAACGTTTGGGTTTGGACTTCATGTAAACTAATGTAATGTAATCTAACCTAACTGTGGTCCAATTATTGCAATAAGGACCATTAATATGATATTTCCCTTTATCTCCTCTGTTAACCCTTCAGTAACGAACCTATTATACTTCAATTTACCTCCGGGTGACATTCACAAAGGCTCACACGTTAAATCTTTCCCCCCTAAATGGAGATGTAAGACTCCCCACCACCTCCCTCCCATCTGAAGACTCACTCAGGCTACAACACAAAAGGGTCGACCAAATTGAAATCGAAATCGCGCCGAGATCCTCTTGTGGGTGGTAGTCCCCACTCCCCCCACCCCCCACCCCCATCACCAACACCCCCTCGGGCAAAAAAATTCAATCAAACGGCTTGAAAAATTGAATCAGGTAATCTATATAATGTTTATATATATATATATATATATATATATATATATATATATATATATATATATATATATATATATATAGGATTATATAAAGACGGTTAGTTGCTTTAACACATAACTGCCATAGAGAACAACGGGCATATAAACAAGGTACAGTCAGTGAAGTGTTTGAGATGCTTGGCTCAGATTCAAGTGACCTGGTCCGTATTCAACACCTCCTCCTAAGCCCCCCACCCTCCCTCCCTTCACCCCAACATTCCATATACACCTCACCAACGCTCAGGAACTCCCCCCTCACCCCCCCAGGACGGTGTAGGTGGTTCAACATGAGATCCGTGGAGATGATTTCCTAATTTGTCCGGATCGCGAGCATCACTTATGGTAATACTGCTGGAGGCAATTTTAGGTGGATTGTGGGAGTTGGAGGAAGGTGGGGAGGTGAGGAGGAGGGTGAGGGAGGGGGAGGGGAGGGAGGTGAGGTGAGGGAGGAAAGGTAGGGGAAAGGTGAGAATCGGGAGAAAGTGAAGGAGGTTGGAAGAAGGTGGGAGGGGAGAAGTTGAGAAGAGGGGAAAAGGTGAGGGAGGGAGGAGGAGGAGTGGAAGTGGGTGGGGTAATGAATCACACTTTCCATGAAGACAAAGCCAGTGAGGATTGGTGGGAAGATGCTGAACCTTCTCACCCTTGTCACTCTCCCACACACACACTCTCACACACACACACTCCCACACACTCTCTCACACGTGTCACTCTCCCACACTCTCTCACCCTTGTCACTCTCCCACACACACACACACACACACACACACACACACACACACACACACACACCTCTCATCCTTGTCACTCTCCCACACACACACTCTCCCACACACACACTCTCCCACACACACACTCTCCCACACTCTCTCACCCCTTGTCACTCTCCACACACCTTCTCACCCTTGTCACTCTCCCACACACTCTCTCACCCTTGTCACTCTTCCAACCACACACACACACACACACACACACACACACACACTCTCCCCACACACACACTCTCACACGTGTCACTCTCCCACACACACACTCTCCCACACACACCTCTCACCCTTGTCACTCTTCAACCACACACATACACACACACACACACACACACACACACACACACACACACACACACACACACACACACACACACACACACACACTTCCCACACACTCTCTCACCCTTGTCATTCTCCCATCATCTCCTTATGCTACACTCTCAGGGAAGGCAAGGACCACCTACCACCTACCCGCAGTAAATCACTTATACTGTTATGAAGGCGAGGTGAGCAAAGAACAAGACAAAGGGCTTAATAGATCAGCAACAGGTGGGAAGGAAAGACAGGTACGTGGCAACAGGAAGTAGGGGCTGACCTGTGGCTGGGGCTGAGGAGGGGCGGTGTCCTCCAGGATGTAGGTCCTCTCGTTGACGGGGAAGGCTGTAGGACTCGTCATGGTGGAGGTGTTAGCGGAAGTCTTCTACTTGTGTTGTGTCCGGAGTGACTGAGGTTGTGTCACTCTATAACGTCTCTAGTACTTGTTTCTCCCCGCAATAACTGTCAGTGGCTGGTGCCTCTCTCTCTCTGTTTACTTCTATCGTAAAAGATTTCCTCTCATCACTTTAAACATCTGTAGTAATTTTTTTGTAGGGCGACTCATGCGCACATAGCTTCACTCTCCTCACTTCTATTCTATTTTGCCTTTAAAAATTTGTCTTTGCTGGGAAACGTGAGGTTACCAGAATGTTGGAGGTGACGCCAGACACTAGCGTAGAGACTCAGGAGATAATCAGAGACCTTCCAAGATAAGTGGCCGTGCTCGGGAATTGTTTACAGTGGGACGTGTGGCCGCTGGTACCTGATCTGGGCGTCAACAAGAACGAGGTGGTCGGAGTCTCATATTTGATTCCCGGTAAGCGTAATGTAGTTATTTGGTGAAGACTAGAGTTGTTTAATGTCTGCTTATCTACTTAAGAGTTTAATCGCTTGGCGCAGTGTCGGAATGAGACTGTTGAAGTAACCGATAGCTTGGTGAAGAGTATAAGGTCCCTTGGTGAAGTGTTAAGGTCCCTTGGTGAAGTGTTTAAGGTCCCTTGGTGAAGTGTTAAGGTCCCTTGGTGAAATGCTTCTGAGTAACGGTGACCTGGTCGGGGCGCCACACCCTTGTCACACCACCATAACCTGTAAAAAGAACGAGAGTATAAAGTCAACAACAATAACAACAGCACACAAGATCTAAGAACAAAATGCTAAGGGGGATCCAAGGGGGAGGGAAGGGGGTGGGAGATTGGGAAAGGGGTTAAGGGAAGGGGTGTGGATGAGGCAGGAAGGGGCGGAGAGAGACTAAAGGGGGGAGGGAGGCAGTGAGGGGGGGCTTAATAATTGTCACTGATTCCATATAATTAATCATTATTCTCTCACTTATATTTAGAATCTATGATGACCTTTAACTTACAGGTCTTCTTGAAGGTCATCTGAGATAATTTTAGTGTGTGTGTGTGTGTGTGTGTGTGTGTGTGTGTGTGTGTGTGTGTGTGTGTGTATAAAGTCACAACATGCACACTGACGTCAACGTTAACGAATAATACACAACACAATCCAACACAAGACAGACCAAGATGCAATTCTCTGGAAAATAGCAACGAAGAGAGAGAGAGAGAGGGAAGGAGGCGATCTCTAGGATTCTCCGTGAAATAGACAATTTTCTGGACGATTTCATTGGCTGTCGGCGATGTAAGCTGCAACCAATCAACGTTAAGCTGGCACCTTCAATGATGGACGGTCAGTAGTGCTGAAACTCGCTATAAATAACGTCTCTCTCTCTCTCTCTCTCTCTCTGCTAAGGGATTCAGCTCTTATCTTAAACTTTCCGGGAAGGACGGCCGTGTTTACAGAGCTTTTTTGTCCTAGGCTGGCGAGGGTGATAGAAGTAAAGCAGCCTGTGAAAAAAAAGCCACTACACAAAAGGCCATTGGGAATAAAATTATGAAAAAGCCACCAGCAAAGTCACAATACAACCTTCTATAATGGTAAAAGCCTGTGTGTATATGTGTGTGTGTGAGTGTGTGTACGGCTCAGCTCCAAGACTATGAAAACAAAGAGACCTGAAACTTTCCTCCCATACACTGCCAATGTTTACAGTAAGACAACCTTTCCCTCAGAACCTCCACCCCCCCTACAGACCTGCCAGACGTAGTGACACCGCCGCCACCCGCACCAGCACAAAAATGGAAAAAACAGTTATATTATCTCCCTAGCCCATCCCAGTGACTTAGAAACCCCACTATAAATCAAAACATCCACAATAGACTAACCCAAAACCGTCAAAAATAGATAAATAGTAATAAAAATAAAACAGAACGAATAAAATAGAAGTTATCGTACAGGAGTCCAACATGGCTGCTGCCGCTTCCCCATCCTTCACACCAAGACACGTTCACTTAATACCAGACAAAAGCCTTGGGACAATGTTTCTGTGTTTTATCCCAAGAGAACCAGTTAAGTCTGTGTGTGTGTGTGTGTGTGTGTGTGTGTCGTATCTCCAAGACCATGAGACCTTGACATTTCACATGCATACTAAAGAGGCCCTGGGGGTATGCATCTACTTCACTTTTCTGATTTGGCTAAAAAAAAAAATCCTTTCTGTACATTCTGGAAGGATTTCTCACAAACCTAACCTAACCTACCATCCATTTCTATTTTTTAATTAGGTAAAATTGGTTAGGTTAGATGTTAGGTTATTTCTAAGATAATTTTTAGATCAATATAAGTCTTTTATACTAAATATTTTCAAACTACCCTAACCAAACCTAACCTAACCTCTAACATTCACAGTTTATTAATTATTATCATCATCGTTTTAAAGCCATCTTACTCCCCACCACCTCCCTCCCCACAAGAGCCAGTAATATAACACAGTGCCTCAGCTCCGGGGTTGTGGCAATAATTTGGAGGTGCCACGTCAACTTGATCGCCAGGGTGTGATCCTCTTACCTGGACCCGGCGATAATGACACCACCTAATACTGTGAACCTTTACTCCCTGTCGAGGCTTTTATCCGAGAGAGAGAGAGAGAGAGAGAGAGAGAGAGAGAGAGAGAGAGAGAGGGGGGGGGAGGGGTTTAATCTCGTAATTGAAGACTTTAAGCGTGGTTGGATGTGTGTGAGTTACGTTCACACACACAAAAAAACCATACCAACAAATTGTACAAACCCTCGACCTTAATAACTTATAAGAACCTTTTCGCCTCTAGTGTAATAATTCTGAGGTTATATTTTTTGTTGGTACGTTATTCTTATGTTTTACCTTTATCTAAATGTCCCAGAGAAGTCTTCTTTCATCTGAAGTTATGAGACACATTTATCGTGTGAGCCTTTGTGAGTCTGGATTCTGAGTATAAAGAAGCAAGGAAGGAAGTGGAGTGATGAAGAGGAGGAGTTTGGGGTGGGGGAGTGCAGGGGAGGAAGGGCTTGGAGGTTGGGTGGTGGGGAGAGGTAAGGAGGTAGGGGACGGCGGGGCTTGGGGAGGGGAGAGGAGGAGTTTGGGGTGGGGGAGTGCAGGGGAGGAAGGGCTTGGAGGTTGGGTGGTGGGGAGAGGTAAGGAGGTAGGGGACGGCGGGGCTTGGGGAGGGGAGAGGAGGCGGCGACAGCGCTTCCAAACGTACGACGACACACACCACAACAAATGTCTTGAACGGGGTAACAAATGGACGCAAATCTCGTTTAAAACTCCTCTAGGGACAAAACTAATTACATTACCTTGATATATCGGTTTAAATATATAAATATGTTTGTTTTTTATTAGACTCAGTTATAATATTTCACCTTTTTAATAATAGTAATAGCGAAATGAATAACTGAAATTACTTAACAAATTTCTACTACTCTAAATAGGGGTTCGTATATTCAGCTCCTTAAATATGTCTTACTACTACTACTACTAACACTGTGATTACTATTATACGACGACTACTTTTTACTACTACTACTACCTCGCCTGCTAAAGCCACGAGTAAAGACCACCAGAGCACTACGGTCGGCCGCTTTATCTGCAATATGACCGCCACCACGACAAAGGTGTTGCACGAGGTGACTAATGGACACCACACTGCATTAAACCGGGACTAAAAGCTGTGTTAGTGAGGGGCGGCGGTGGGTGGCACTGGTGATGGATGGGTGGCATTGATGGGTGGCACTGATGGCGGTGGGTGGCACTGGTGATGGATGAGTGGTCTTGGTGGAGATGGGTGACACGGTGGCACTGATGGTGAGGGTGGGTGGCATTAGTGAGGGTGGGTGGCATTAGTGGGGGTGGGTGGCGGTGGTATTTAAGGGCGGCGGTGGGTGGCCAAGCTCGACACAATGGTGATTACGGGAGAGTTTTGGAGCGTTGGTAAAGAGGATGGTTCAGCGGAGGAATGTCAGAGGTTGGTGTGAAAGTCGGCCAATGCCGCTTTGACTCCACCACACACACACACACACACACACACACACACACACACACACACACACACACACACACACACACACGTGGTAGGAAGTAATGCTAGGAAGGATGTGAAGGATGTGGTAGAGAATAGTAGTAGTAACAGGAAGGATGTGGCAGGAAGGATGTGGTAAAAGGGATGTGTTTAATTCGGTGGCGGTGATGGCTGGCCACAAGACGTCTCCCTCACCACCCTGTCTGCCACCCTGTCTGCCACCCGCTCCTCCTTGCTTCCTGTTGGAGTCTAGTCTCTCTCTCTGTGTGTGTGTGTGTGTGTGTGTGTGTGTGTGTGTGACTTGCTGACGCCAAAACGGAAACTGTCTGAGCTCTGAACACTGGTCTAGGTCAGAGAGGGGCGAGAGGAGGAGAGTAGGGGTGGGTAAGGGGTGAGGGGGGAAGGAGGGGTAAAGGGGAGGCAAGAGAAGGGGATGAGAGGAGGGAAAGGATTAAGAAGTGGTGATAATGGTGGTTAGGAAGGAGGGAGGAGGGGCGGGAAGGGGTTCGCTCTGATGATATTAATCTTATTTGCTTCCGCTTGATTACTTTTTAGGAGAGAGAGAGATTACCCTCCATCGCATTTCCTTTCAGTCTTATCGTTTTCCCCCTTATCCACCTCTCCCTTTTTCTCTATCTCTCTCTCTCTCTCTTTCCACCTCGAGACAATGCAGATGGGACGGCGAGACAAAGGCCTAACTAGAGATCTGGCCAAATCCTCCACAGTGACAAAATTTCCTGACGTTTCCCCTCAAGAATTCTGCCCCGTTTTCTGTCAGATTAAGTGGCGCAGGAGGAGAGGAGGAGGAGGAGGAGGAGGAGGAGGAGGAGGAGGAGGAGAGGAGGAGGAGGAGGAGGAGGAGGAGGGGGTTAGGAGGTAGGAAATAGTGTTGTAGGAGGAAGTATAGGAGGAAGAAGAAGCGGAGGAGGAGGAATGGAAATGATGGTGGAGGGTGTGTACAAGAACAGGGAAGAGGTGGTGGAATGGAAGTGGAGTAGGATGAAGTAGAAGGACAGCGGAAGAAGAGATAATGGTGGAGAGGAGGAGGAGGAGGAGGAGAAGGAAGACGAGGAAGAGAAGGAGGAGGAGTTAGGGTCGTCGTCACTTTGCTAGTAAGTGGCAGAGGGTCGCGGCCGCCCTCCTGCTAAATGGAGTGGTCTTGGATCCTGCCACACACCATGACCTGGCAGCAATGGGGGTGAATAGTGGACAAGTGAGAGGGTGGAGTGGGAGGAGGTGGGTGAGTGGGTGGGAGGAGGTGGGTGAGTGGGTGGGAAGGAGGGGGGTGAGTGGGTGGGAAGGAGGGGGTGGAGTGGGTGGGTGAGTGGGTGGGAAGGAGGGGTGAGTGGTGAAGAAGGAATAGGTGGGTGAAGGGGAGTGGGTGGTGGGGAGTGGGGAGTGAGGGGGGGGGAAGTGAGGGAGGTGGATGAGAGGGAGGGTAAAAGATGGAAGATGGGAAATGGACATAGAGGAGGAGGAGGAGGAGGCTGGATGGCGGATATGGGAAGGAAAGTCACCAACTGGGGATATGGACGTGGCCTCTGTGTGTGTGTGTGTGTGTGTGTGTGTGTGTGTGTGTGTGTGTGTGTGTGTGTGTGTGCGTGTCCGGAGCCACTCACACCACGACCAAGGCTTCTCTTATTATAATGGTCAGGGCTGTTTATTATATGACCCTCACACACACACACACACACACACACAC